ACCTGGAGAGCATTATGCTAAGTAAAATAAGCCAGTCAGAGAAAGATAAATATCACATGCTCTCACTCATTTGTGGAATATAATGAACAACATAAACTGATGAACAAAAACAGATCCAGAGATAGAGAAGCATCCATCAGACCTTCAAACTTCAGAGGGAAGGTAGGGGAGGGTGAGGGTGAGGGGTAGAGATCAACCAAAGGACTTATATGCATGTATATAAGCATAACCAGTGGACACAGACACCAGGTGGGGAGGGTGGAGGCATGAGTGCGTGTGTGTGTGTGTGTGTGGGGGGGGGGCAATGAGGGGATAGAGACATATGTGTAATACCTTAATCAATAAAGAAAAAAAAATGTTGGTGGGAGATTTAAGAACCAGTGTATGTTTACCAAGTGCCTCATTCCCTTTTCATCCTTTATGACAGTGTCCCAGGTAGAAGACACTCCATTAACCTGGGTCCCAGAATAAAGGTAAAGTAGATCTCTAGTTCACCTTGGTTTGGAGTATGAGTGAGAAATAAACTGGTGTGTCATGAGACACTAAGATTTAGAAAAAGGGTTTCTTTCTCTTTCTTTCTTCCTTCCTTCCTTTCTTCCTTCCTTTCTTCCTTCCTTCTTTCTTTCTTTCTTTCTTCTTCTTTCTTTCTTTCTTTCTTTCTTTCTTTCTTTCTTTCTTTCTTTCTTTTCTTTTCTTTTTCTTTCTTTCCCTAATGTAAGCTATAATGCTTGTTTAAACTATATCCTAAACCTAAATCTTGATGAGCTTCTGAAATACAGCTGCAGATTTGACTAATATTTACTAGCTGTGACAATTTGTGCCTCATTTTTTTTTTATTCCATAAAATGGGAAAATTAATTTCCATGCCAGAAAATTATAATAAAGTTTACATGAGTTGATTTATACAACATGTTCAATAGTAGTTGGCACATAATAAGGTCTCCAAATATCAGTTATTATTATTATTATTATTATTATTATTATTATTATATACCTTCATGGTAATAAGTGTATTTATTTTTATTTCCTCCTAGCTTATTTATAACTATTTATAAGCATTGTAATAGTATATTCTTTTATAAGCTTATCTTTATTTTCAACTAGATATTATGTTCTTGTCTATAAGAGCCATGCTTTACTCTTGTAACTGTTAAAAGATAAAGTGAGGCATATTACAAATTATAAAAGTTTATTTGAGCAAACAGCTATTTGAAATGGGCAGCATTCAATGTAGCAGTTAGGAGCTCCAAGGGAGCTGTATAAAATGAATGACCCTCACAGCCTAAAGAGAGCAGGAATAAGGAAGTTATACTAAACAAAAAAGTGAGTTGATTATTCTAAGTTAAAGACAAAGCTCATTTTATTGTGCTTTGCTTTATTGCACTTCTCAGATATCATTTTTATTTGTTTTTACAAATTGAGGTTTTGTGGCCACCCTGCATTGAGCAAATAAATTGCACCATTTTCCCAGCAGCATTTTTCTCACTTCGTGTCTCTGTGTTACATTTTGCTAATTCTCACAATATTTCAAAGTTTTTCATTACTATTGTATTTTTTATGCTGATCTGTGATCAGTGACCTTTGCTGTTACTATTATAATTGTTTGGGGAACCATGAGCCGCACCCATATGAGATGATGAACTTAGGTATGTGTGTTCTGACTGCTTCACTGATCACCTATTCTCCCATCTCTCATACTTTCCTTGGACTTTCCTATTTCCTGAGACAAAACACTTCTGAAATTAGGCCAATTAGTAACCCTCAGTGGCCTCTCAGTATTCACGTGAAAAGAAGAGTTGCACATCTCCCACTTTAAATCAAAAGCTAGAAATGATTAAGTAAGGAAGGCCTGTGGAAGCCAAGATATGCTAAAAGATAGGCCTCCTGCACCAAGTTGTGAGTGCAAAAGAAAAGTTTTTGAAGGAAATTAAAAGTACTACTCCAGTGAACACATGAATGATAAGAAAGCCAAACATCCTTACTGCTGATATGGGAAAGTTTTAGTGGCCTGGATAGTCAATACAGCTACAACATTCCCTTTAACCAAAGCCTAATCCAGAGCAAGACCCTAATTCACTCCAGTTCTATGGAGGGTGAAAGAGGTGAGAAAGCTGCAGAAGAAGAAAATGTGACATTAGCAGAGGTTGGTTTAAGGGGATTAAAGAGGAGTAAAGAAAGAAGCCATTTCCAAAATATAAAAGTACAAGGCAAAGTGATGTAGACGCTGTAGCAAGTTATCCAGAAATCTAGCTGAAATGATTAATGAAGGTGGCTACAGCAAATATCAGAGTTTCAGTGTAGATGAATTAGTTTTCTATTGGAAAATGATGCCATCTGGGACTTTCATAGCTACTAGATAGGAGCAGGCAATGCCGAGCTTCCAAGTACAGGCTGACTTTCATGTTAGAGGCTAATTAAGCTTGTTATTTTAAATTGAAGCCAATGCTTATTTGTCATTCTGAAAATCCTAGGGCCCTTAAGAATTATTGTAAATCTACTCTTCCCATGTTGTACAAATGGAACAATGAAGCCTGGATGACAGCAATACAATATGATTTACTGAATATTTTAAGCCCACTGTTTAGATCCACTACTCTGAAAAAAAAATTATTATAAAATATTCCTGTTCATTGACAGCGCACCTGGTTACCCAAGAGCTCTGATGGGGATGTACAACAAAATTTATGTCATTTTGATGCTTGCTAACACCACATCCATTTGGAGTAATTTCAACTTTCAAGTCCTGTTATTGAAGAAATACTTTTTGTAAGGCCATAGACGCCATAGATAGTGATTTCTCTGATGGATCTGGGCAGAGTAAATTGAAATCCTTGTGGAAAGGATTCACCATTCTAGATGCTGTTAAAAACATTCATGAGTCATGGGAAGAGGTCAGATATCAACATTAACAGGAGTTTGGTGGAAGTTGGTCCAATCTTCACAGATGACTTTAAGTGGTTTAAGACTTCAACAGAGGAAGTAACTGAAGTTGTGGTGGAAATAGCAAGAGCACCAGGATTAGAAGTGGACCCTGCAGAGGTGACTGAATTGCTGCTGCAGTCTCATGATGAGGGTGGGGATACACTCCTGCTAATGGATGAGGAGCTGCTTCTGATGGATGAGCAAAGAAAGTTGTTTCCTGAGATGGGATATACTCCTGGTTGAGATGCTGTGAGGATAATCAAAATAACAAGATTTAGAATATTGCATCCACTTAGCTGAAACCGTGGCATGGTTTGAAAGGATTGACTCCAATTTGGGAAAAAAGTTCTATTGTGGGTAAAATGCTGTCAAACATCCATCTCATTGTACAGAGAAATCATTCATGAAAGGTAGAACCCATCAATGTGGCAAACCACATTGTTGTCTTATTTTAAGAAATCATCATAGCCACCCCACCCTTCAGCAACCACCACCCTGATCAGTCAGCAATCATCAACATCAAGGCAAGACGCTTCACTGTCAAAAAGATTATGACTTGCCGAAGGCTCAGATGATAGTTAACATTTCTTTTTTAGCAATAAATTATTTTTTATTATGTATGTGCATTGTTAGTTTTTAGACATAATTCTATTGCACACTTAATAGACTAAAGTATAATGTAACTATAGCTTCTACAGGCACAGAAAAACCAGCAAATGTGTGTGACTCACTTTGTTGCTGTGGTCTGGAACCAAGCCCACGATGTCTCTCAAATATGCCTATACTTTCCTTCAGGGGATGGCATCTGTCTATCAGATAGATTACATAACTTAATGCTGTTTGGGCTATTTCTGATTGATTGGCTTAAAATTCCATTACTGGGAGAGCTAAAACTGTAATTACGTGTCAGTTTGGTGACATGAGGCTTAGTGTAAGTTACTCCATTTGGGGCCTATTGTCGTACTTTTAACAGTGTACATTGTACTACACAGCATAACAGCTTGTGCACATATCAGAGTAGTTGCAAGATAGTCCATGTAAACTAATGATTAGAAGTACAAGTTACAGAGAACATGATTTGAACCCTTATCTGCTGCAATGGCCTATGTGATCTGGAAGAGTGATTGACACTCTCCAAATCCTTGTTTACTCAATAGTGGGTTAAAGTTATTATCTCCCTTCATGTTTGATGAGCATTAATTAAAATAATGTGTTTAAAGCCTCAGCACAGGGCCTGGCACAACAGTGATGGTAGTTTTTGTTAGTAGCTGCTCAGTACAGATGAACACAATGAATAAAGAGATTCATCTAAACATTTTATAATGATTCTCTACTTTTTCCTAAGATCTGCATCATGTGAAACCTAAAACACAGTCTAGCTTCCCATTAAAGCTTGGCTTATACTTTTCTCTAGATGTTTTCTATCTATAAAAATTGTCTCTCTGACATGTTTCTGGATTAACATGTTCTTCCTCTCTTTTGTGGATTTTTTTTTGTGTACTTCTACTTGAGCACAGAGGTGGTACATGGTAGGTGCTTAATAAATATTCAAAACGTGGCCTTTGAAAACACTAGGTATTTAGCCAAAGTTAGATTACATTTACTAGTAGAAATCTCAGATAGCCCATTAATAGACTCACCAGGATCAAATTTAGAAAAATTCTAACTCTTAATTCCTATAGGTAATAAATATTTGATTTTCAAGAATCATTACCAAGAAAATGTAGGAATTAATATTCATAGTGATAACTTGATATAATTCATTACTTCACTAATATTCACAATAAAGAACTCATGCTAAAAATAATCTTTTAAGTAGATTAAGCTGGTGTTTTGGTTTTTTTTCCTCATTCACATTAAATTAGTAGTCTGAGGGTTCATACCTAAACACATTAACCTTAAAATTATATTTATTTATTTGTTTGTTTGTTTGTTTGTTTGTTTATTTTGCTACAAGATGTCAAATAATCTTTATAGGAAGGGCGCCTTGATTTCTTGGTGACATTTATCATAATGAGCAAACTTTTGTGTTTTGCTTATAAATAGGCTCATGTTTTGTTTTGTTTCTTCTATATAAGCATCACTTGTGAAGTAAATATAGATGAATGTCTATCAAAACCCTGTCTCCATGATGGAGCTTGTATTGATGGCATCAATCTTTATACCTGTGACTGCCAGAGTGGCTTTTCTGGAACACACTGTGAAACAAATGCAAATGATTGCCTCTCAAATCCTTGTCTGCAGGGAAGGTAGCTATTTTTGTTTTTCTATTATTAAATCTCAGAAAGTAAATTGAACTCACAATACTTAAGACTTAATGTCAAGGGAAAGTTGATAAAGTTAATTTTAATTACGCTCCTTCATAAAACTAGAGCTAAGTACAGTTAAGATGACAGATGCTGCCTTTTCTACTTAATGCAATGCACTGATACATTTTCTCTGCCCTTCTTTTATTTCTACACATTAGCATAAATTTCAATAAATGCAGATTAATTGGGCTTTAATATACTTAAAGGTAACTGCTCACAGTAATAGAAGCAGCAGGTAGGATGAGAAGACATTCTATTATTTGCTCTGTGGAGGGATAATACCACACACTTAGTATTTAATATGTTCCTAAGTAAACTGGTTCTTTCATCCCTATGTGCATGTAAGCTATTTTGTGGCTTTCTTTATGAAATTGTATAATAACTATTCTGCTCATTGATAGCAAATTAGTTTATGCAAATCCAGAGTAGGGGCATTTCTAGGAGATGCAAGTGACAAAGAAGAATGTCTTTCAGATGTACCAAGTTGCCTTTGCAACATTATTATTACTTGTTTTTTTCCTAGTCCTGCCACTGACTTTGTACAAAAGGAAGGCAGGATGAAGATGGATTGCTCATTGCAATGGAGTTCAGCCATAGCTGCGTTCAGTTTCCTAGATTAGCCCTACACGTACTGTAGATCTTCTAGAACTCTTCCTTCTTTTCATTGCCATGGGGAAGATGGCAAAAATGAAAATTGATTTGTTCTTTCAGCCCAGTCACCTTGAAGGATAAGAAATCTGGAATAGACTGCCTTCTGCTCATGGGAATGTGTGTGTTTTTGTTTTTTGGATTTTGGTTTTATTTTGACCTGAACGGGAAAAGAGCAATTCTAAATTTTTAAACTGTCTTGAATTTATGCTTTAATGTCTTATTTACTTAAAAATGCAATTCTATGTTTCATATGCACAGATATCACTAATGAATATCAATGCTCCTGTGATACAGAATGGACTAGCTCAAGATGTGAGATCAAGATTAATGTAAGTTGAATAATTTTGATTAAATTTATAGTAATTCAAGAGAACAAGCAAATCACTTGCTGTAGATTTCAGAGTTATTTCTTCAATTATTAATGATTTAACTACTCAGTTCCTCACCATTTCTTTTTTGAATTTTCCAGTTGCTTCAAACAAAAATCACAGCCTCTTTTTGCCTTTTCCCTTCTGTCTCTTGTTATCTTAAACTTCTGAAATCGGGAGCCTTCATTAAACTAAATTCTGGATATGGTCATTGAAAAAAGTACCTCAGAAGGTTTATAATTTGTCACATGCCTACCTCTCTCTACTCTTAGAATACACAGGTGTCTGTGGATGTCTAGGGATGAAAGAAGATTCAATGATCCAGATAACACACACACACACACACACACACACACACACACACACACACCACACACACACACAATAAATAAATAAATTAATTAATTAATAAGTAAATAAATAAATAAAAAATAAGAAATAAATAAATACTAGATGGATGTGCCCAGAGGTGGTTACATGTAGCAATCCTCAACACCTACAGTACTCTCGGGATCTTTCTTCCAGTATTCAGGAGTCCAATGTGATCTAATGGACATATGATATTTTATGTGGAATGCCTAATCTTTTTGGAAATGTTGGTTTCCTGAAGTTTGAGACTATGCCTGGGACATGAGAATCTCATGAGCCTTTCTGGATAATGGAGAGTTCTTCCAAATCCTTCTTGCTGACAGAGACATGGTAAAGGAAGGAAGCATAGGGGCTAAAGAAGCCTTCAGCTTAGTGAGACTGCGGATATTTTATTTAAATCCTTTCTGTCTCTCTCCTACCTTAGTAAAATACAGTTTATACATCATAGGGTCATTGTATGATCATGTACATAAGAGGTGATAGATGCTCAAAATGATCCTTTTGGAGAGAGTGATGGGGTACTTAAATGTATTAAGGGGAAAGATGATTGACCTATATTTTCCTACTTACCTTCTGTGTGTTCTTGAACAAATTATGTACTGACATTCTGAAGACATGTTTTAGCTATTCAGTGAGGGTCATCATAGCAACTACTTCTTAGATTGTTGTGGGAATTAAATTAGATAATGCATGTAAATCAATTAGCACAATTTCTGACACATATTTTTGAAAGCTTAATTACTTATTGATATTATGTTGATTTTATTCTAAATAATGAAAACCATACATAATATGGAAAAGGACATGTTTTAGTTACTAAATTTGCTGGTATATGAGGCATATATCTTGTTTGTGTGGTTGCATATATTGCCTGCGGTAATCTCTAAAAACTATCTCTTGCTAGTATAATGTGGCATTCTTCTTCTGAATAAAATAAATAAATACATAAATAAATAAGTGTTTATGTAAATGAATTTGTATATATTAGTATTTACAAACACTGCTATGAGAATAATTGTTAAAATTTTCTAGATTTATTTCTAATATTTTTACATAAACATGTACTTTAGTGACTTGTTTTTCCAGAGAAAATGAAATGAGGAATATGAACTTTAAGATACTTTTTATGCATAAACACATGTAAATAAAATATCAAAATTAAAATAGGGTAATAACATATAATGTTATATAGTGCAATTTTTCATGTAATTATATATTTAGATACTTTTCCATATCAATACTTTATATTTATGAATTTCAAAGTATTTATTAAGATATATAAAATTGCACAGAAGATGCTACCTCATTTATTCTTAAAATCCACAAATAGTAGAAAAGACAGTCTGGCCAGTTCAGGGTGGACTCTCTCTACTCCTTCACTTCATTTTGGGCAATTTTTCAATTAATGGGCAAGGGCTATGAATCATCGGAGAAGTAGAGAGGACTGGGTCCTTGATGCCACTGTTTTGTCTTATGCTGCCATTTATTGGCCCCTTGGCCAGCAGCTTTAACTCTTACTACATCTTCTAGGGAATTGGAATCATTCCTTGACAGATGGCAGTCAGATTGTACAATCTCCACCCATTTTATCCCAAACACAAGGCCTCTTAAAATCTTCTCACCATTCCACCTCCCTTAGTCTGTTCAGTGTTGTAAGCAAAATATACCATAGACTGGGTAGCTTAAACAACAGACATTTATTTCTCACAGTTTTGGAGGCTGGGGAAACCAATTGTTTTAACTATTGTAGGAACCTTTCCATTATAATTGAGTCCTAACCCATTGCTTTTAATAGCTAAAAAGGATTCCAAAGAAGTGTTGACAAATCGTATTTATTTACTGAGAGACTGAGCATACCAATTTTCCTGTATCCTATTAAATGAATACATACTTTTAAAAAGTATTGACCAATTTGATGAGGAAAATTTATCACTTCATTATTTTAATTCACATTTTTCTAGGTTACTATGAAGATTTAGCACCTTTTCATATAGTTATTTATCATTTGTAGATCTTTGTGCTTTGTGTAGTCATAGCCTTTGATTAACAGAATTTTTCTTTGGGCTTGCTTGCCCTTTTTCTTTTTGGTTGGTATATAGTATTTACAATTATGAATAAAATCCACTAGATTCTGAAAAAATGCAAATCTTCTCTAGAGTTTTATAAAACTAATATACTATGAAATTTTTTATATTTTTTAACTTAATGATTCTGTGTTTGCATCTCTCTTTAGAAAGTGCTTTTATTTAGCAATATTTAAATAAAATTCTTATTGTATTCATCTATAATTTTAACATTGGTAACACTTTTAATACCTTAACTCATTGTGCATATATTGTTATGATGAAAGAAGTGAGTGATTTGATTTACTTTTTCAAAAGTATAATTTATTTTTCTAAGAACTATTATCTAAATTTTACCTAAAATAATCTGTTATTTCTCTACAGATGTGAAATGCCTTATATTTTATGCTTTAAGTATCTAAATATAGTATAAGGGATAACTATTCTGTTTCTCTACCTTTTAAAACCTCATTTTTCAATCTATATTAATTATTATAATTCAATGATATTTTATTGTAATCATCCTATTTGTACTAATACATTAAGGGCACGCTAAATGTCCTTATGGTTATTTGGTCTGCAAACATTGAATATTTAATATCTGTGGGAAACCAGGGTATAAGAATTTTCAGGCATACCTTCTGACAATCAGTTGGAGATATAGATATGTTTCTTACTTAGCTGACCTATTTATTATAGCTCTCTCTATGTTGCAATGCACAAACAACAACGTCCAAAGGGCGTTATGAATTAATGTCCAAGTCTGTCTTTCCCGGCTAAAGAGTCAAGAGCAATGGACAAACATGGACGGTGCTGATTGAAAAGAACACTCAGGTCAACAATGGAACAGGTGGTCATAGCTAAAGCTCCTTGAAGAGTGAAAAAAAAAGTTTATGTTAGGGCTGGAGGGAGAAAAATACAAGCAAACTCTTTTTTTCTTTTGTCAATCTGATAATTTGAAGTAAGTTTAAAAAAATTAGAATCAGTGCTAGAGAAAAACAAACTTGTGATCGGGTATGAAATGGATGCTGTGGTTTTGCAAAATGCAATTAACTCAATTCTGAACACACACACACACACACACACACAGATGAAAGAAAAGAGAGAAGGGTGATATTCAAACATTTCCTTTTTTTTTTTTTGTTGAGTCTGGATAACTGCTACAATAGAGCTGATACGTTGTTTTGAGTACTATATCAAATTATAAATATATAAGAAAAGTACTAAAATAAAATAATGAAAACATAATAGAAGGAATCAAGGGATTCTAGGATGAAGGAAAACTAAGAATTTATCACCAGCATATCTAATCTAAAGGGAGAACTAAAAGAAATTATCTAAACAGAAAGAAAAGGATTAAAGAAAAAAATGTGTGTGTGCATGTATTTGTATTTCCTCAAATGTGAGCTGACATTTATAAAAGTCTTCTTATGTAATAAGATTATTCACCTTTTGTCTATCATATACATTATATACACTTTCCTATTTTTTGTTAATTTCTAATCAATATATAGTGCATGTTGACACTCAAAAGGGTAATGTATCCAAACTTACTGAGATTTCCTCTAACGGTTCTGTGGTTTGTGACAAGTTTGAAAGGGACTTAGTAAAAAAAGTTATTCTAGCCCTGGCCTGTGTAGCTCAGTTGGTTGAGCATAGTCCCATGCACCAATAGGTTGCTGGTTCGATTTCCTGTCAGGACACATGCCTGGGTTGTGAGTTCGATCCCCAGTAGGGTGTGTGCAGGAGGCAGTCAACTGGTATTTCTCTTTCCATCTCCCTTCCTCTTCCTCTAAAATCAATAAAAGCATTTTTTAACATTACTTAGTATTTTTCTCACTGTCTTTTAATTTGTAATAAATCATGCATTCATAAGTATGCTTTTCAGGATAAGATTTGAGTAGGAATCCCCCAGCAAATGGTTAGCTGTTTCCCACAAGTCATTGTACAGAATATCTCTCACTTTTGGTTGTAAACACATGTTTAAAATAAAGAAGATCTCATAAATGGGTATATTTATCACACATGCGGAGTACCTTGCTTTTCTACTTAATCTACCATTGCAGATTAGTCTACATTAACATAAGTAGTTCTACTTCATTCTTATTACTATTACATAGCTTGGAGGTACCATATTTATTTAGTCAGTATCCTCTTGATGAAAATTTGAGATATTTTAAGTGTATTGTTCTTAAAAAAATATTTATGTACCTTAGATGCAGAAAATAGAGTTAATCAAACACTAGTTCATATTAGGAAATAATTATTAATACTCGCTTGCTCATTTGTGTGTGTGTGTGTGTGTGTGTATCCTTTTGGCCTCATAGCCTATTCCATTCACACATACTTCTGTGTTTATTAGATCTTTTCTTACATGTTCTTCCTGATATTTTTCTCTATTTCTTTATTTGCTCTGGTCTATAAATCTTGAAACTGTATGTTATGGGGAGATGTCTTTCGCTGTTCTTGCAAGAGCAAGGTCAAATCTAAATGAGAAGAGCAAAACAAGTGGGGTCAAGGCTTCTCTTAAACACTCACACCAGCCATGTCCCTTACAAAGCTACAGACTCCTTACAAAGTGTTCTCCATCTTTTGGATTGCTTGTCCATGTTTGACACCTCATTTTGCCAAGTTAGAGTATAAACTTGGCCCTTTCTAGCATGCCCCTGTCCCCCGCCCAGCTCACCACTCTATTGTCTGTGTCCATGGGTCATGCATGGATCATACATGTTCTTTGGTTGAACTCATACTCTGTTTTCCAAGATCTAATTTGAAGTATCCCACTACTTTAAAAACAGCAATGCTAAAAGGAAAGATTCTATGAGATAAATGTTTTATGATAAAGATAAAGTCAGATAAAACATTTCTACACTTCTGGGAAGTACAGAGATCACAGGACACATTTTTGGAATTAAACTATACACCTCAGGGAGAATACAACTGTCATAGAGATAACTGGCATGTTTACTAGCCAATCTGGCGGTTTGCTCTGGCTAACCAGGGGTGGGCAAACTTTTTGACTCGAGGGCCACAACGGGTTCTTAAACTGGACCGGAGGGCCGGAACAAAAGCATGGATGGAGTGTTTGTGTGAACTAATACATGTTAACACTGCTGCTGGTGAAGGAGCGGAGGGGAGAGCAAGAGAACCCTCCGCTCTTTCGGCTCCGCGGGCCGGATAGAACAGCCAAACGGGCCGGATCTGGCCCGTGGGCCGTAGTTTGCCCACGGCTGGAAGCAGTCCACAATGAATGCGTCACTGCTCTGGTGTTCTCGCACTCCTGTGCATTTCCTGGCATGGTGTTTTGAATGCAAGTTGAGTAACTGTAGCATTGGGGTCTAGCTTAATTGTCTAGATTGCCATGGTCTACAACATTATTCCATGAACACACCAGCTTTTTATTTCTTTAATTTCTGGAATTAAATTAGTGAATTCTTCTTGGGAAGCATTTTATTATATTAAATAGAGTGCAGCAAAATGCTATAAATGATTATGAACAAAAGGAAAGGCATCCCTCTTCATTTTTGAACCAGAAAAGATCAAGAACTTTAAGTGACACTTAGATTTTTTAAAAGAAATTGTTTTTGTATTTCCCATTAAGCCTTCTAATTAATTTAGTAAAAGATTCTTGTAAACCCCAGAGATGGAACTTTTGGCAGCCTAAAAATGATTTCGTTCTGCCCAAGGGAAATATAATTCAATTAGTTTATGTAATTCTTTCTAATCATTCATTCTGTATACCAGCCATAGGAATAACAAAGAATCATGTTGTTCCAGGCCATTCCCTGTGGAATTCTTCATTTTTATTCCATAAAAATAACTGCAGTACCTGCACGAAGTGCCTTTGGGAATCCTTAAGGAGTTCACATTTTCAGTAAAGGTAGAACAAATATCAGAATGACATTAATTTATTTAAAAAAATGTATTTAACTCTATCACTTGGGTGAGCATAAAAGATCACCATCTTGGTTTCAAGCATGACTTAAGTTTTATACTTAAGGGCACAATCCATTGAAAATGATAGTAATTTAAACTCTCTGGTGATTTTGACAAATTTTTAATTTTCCATTTGATGCATGATATGAATGCAAAAATAAAAAGTGAGACTGTATCAAAATAAAAATCTTCTGCACAGCAAAGGAAACCATCAACAAAATGTAAAGGCAACCTCTGAAATAAGAGAAAACATTTGCATACCACCTATCTGATAAAGGGTTAATATCCAAAACATATAAGAAACTTATGAAACACAATGGCAAAAAAGTAAAAAAATAAAACACACACAAATAATCCAATTAAAAAATGGGCAAAGGACTTGAATAATTTCTTCAAAGAAGTCATACTAATGGAAACAAATACATTAAAAGGTGCTCTACATCATTAATCACCAGGGAAAGGCAGATCCAAACCACAATGATGTAAGTTCACAGTTAGGATGTCTATTATAAAAAATACAAGAGATAACAAATGCTAGCAAGGACATGGTGGCAAGGGAACCCCTATATGCTATTGGTAGGAAAGTAAACTGCTACAGCCACTATTAAAAACACTATAGATGTTACTCACCTCTGGAAATTAAAAAAAAGTAATTATTATGTGATCACAACTGCATTTCTGGGCATATATCCAAATAAAATGAAACCATTATCTCAAATATCTGTAGTCCCATGTTTACTGCAGCACCATTCACAATAACCAAGGTATGGAAACAACTTGAGTCTCTATTGACAGATGATGGCACAAGGAAAATGTAGTATCTATACGTACAATAAAATATTATTGTCTTTTAAAAAAAGAAGTAAATCCTGCCATTTATGAAAATATTGATAAACCGGGAGAGCATTATGCTAAGTAAAATAAGCCAGACTGAAAGCCACGTACATACTCATGGTCTCACTATATGTGGAATATTAAAGAAAAAGAAAAGTTAAACTTGTAGAAATAGAGGTAGAATGATGGCACCCAGGCACTATGGGTGGGAAAACAGGGAAAGGCTGATAAATGGCACAAACTTTCATTTATAAGATGGTTATAACATAAAAACAGTACATGATTACATAAAATTTATGTAATTTCCCTCAAAATTAAACAATAAAACATTTGACAGAGTATTTCTGCTGACAAAGTTAAATACCTCTTATTGCTAGACACATATTTTAGTGACTAGAGGAAAGGACTATCAGATACACTTGCATATGTTTTTTAATGTTTAACCTCAATAAAATTTTAATGAAATTATTAGTCTGACCACTGACCATCAAATTTTACTCTCTATTTCTTAACTTAGAACTGCACATCAACCCCTTGTATGAATCAGAAGTCAGACCATGGCTTTACTTGCATTTGCCCAAGTTGCTACGCGGGTGCATATTGTGAGGTAAGTACCGATAGTTCTGCTGAGCAGGAACTGAATATGGACCTCTGTGTTAATGGAGGGATCTGTCTCGGTGAATCTGGACACACATTTTACTGCAGGTCAGTATTGATTCACAATTAACTAAATATATATTTAGTAAAACTTATAAATATCCCCCTAGTAATGCACTCTAAAGATACTAAGTCTTAAAGTAAATTTTTGTCTTAATGTAATTAAAATTTGAAATAAAAAATTCTAAAATAACATTGCTTATATTTTTTCCAAATAGCATATATTCATAATAGTATCAATCCCATGTATGATTTTTGAATTTAATCATCCCTTATTTTATAATTATTTCATATCTCCTTTCCTTTCCAAAATGGTTTTTAATCATTTAGCACATGCAGACTATTTATTATTATGACAGTTATTATTCTTTATTATATATTGCCTAATGTCCCATTTCATTTGTAAATTGTGTGTGTGTGTGTATGTGTGTGTGTGTGTGTGATTTTTTTTCTTTGTATTTTTAAACATGGGTTTTCTTATTTTATTCTGGTGGTCCAATAAAGTATAAAATGTAAACATGCTTCTAATATCAATAGTAATTACATAAAATAAAATTATAAAAATGGTCACTTGACCACAGCAAGGGTCCTCCAGTTAATCAGTGCCTGGATTAAGTCATCAGTAGTAAATTAAACAATTATTCACAGTAGATACAATGTTATAAATCAAAATTTTATTCATGGGAAGCCACTAAGTTCAAGAAATTAAAACAAAATAGAAATAAGTGAACCTAAAACTAGATAGTATTTGTTAAGTCAAGCACCATAAAGCTGCTCTGTAGAATGTTATTTTAGAGAATGTTATCCATGGGATAGTTACAGCGACCTTTCTTAAAGCATGAAGTCAATGGAATTCAAACTAAGATGCCTGTTTCTTTTCCTGGAACACCTCCCAGGGACAAGCATAGGCATCCATTACTGTTACAGGGTTATTCAAATTTCACTTAAATAAGAGTCATCTGTCTTCAAAAATTTCACTGATGGTTCAGGCTCAGTTTCTAGGTAATTTTCACAGTGACTGTGAGGAGCCATCGGAATTGGTGTCAATTTAACATAGTCCACAGACAGTTTATTTACAAAAGAAAACTCATATGCTAACGGGAAAGATTTGCAGGTAAAATCATCAGATTCTTGTGGGGGTCAAGGATTAATCTGTGATATATTTATTTAAACCATAATAAAATAATCGTTTTCTTTATTGACAAAATTATATCAAAACTATTGTTTTGATCGATATTTTGCATTAATTTTTTTTAAATTTAAATTCTTTATTGTTTAAAGTATTACTTAAGTCTCCTTTTCCCCCCATTGACCACTTCCCAGTCATCCCCCCACTCCAGCACATGCCCTCCCCCACCCCCCTGTCTGAGTCCATTGGTTATGCTCATATGCATGCATACAAGTCCTTCGGTTGATCTTTTACCCCCTCACCCCTGCCTGCCCTCATAGGTTGCTCAGTCTGTTCGATGCTTCAATGACTCTCGTTCTATTTTTGTTCATCGGTTTATAATGTTCATTATATTCCACAAATGGGTGAGGTCATATGATATTTACCTTTCTCTGACTGGCTTATTTCACTTACATAATGCTCTCCAGGTCCATCCATGCTGTTACAAATGGTAAAAGGTCCTTATTTTTTATAAAGGCATAGTATTCCATTGTGTAAATGTACCACAGTTTTCTAATCCACTCATCTGCAGATGGGTACTTAGGTTGTTTTCAAATCTTCACTATTGTAAATTATGTTGCTATGAATATAGGGGTGCATATATCTTTATGATTGGTGTTTCTGTTTTCTTGGGATATATTCCTAGAAGTGGGATTACTGGGTCAAATGACAGTTCCATTTTTAATCTTTTGAGGAAATACCATATTGTTTTCCATAGAGCCTGCACAAGTCTGCATTGCTACTAGCAGTACAAGAGGGTTCCTTTTTCTCCACATCCTCTCCAGCACTTGTTGTTTGTTGATTTGTTGATGATAGCCATTCTGGCAGGTGTGAGATGGTACCTCATTGTTGTTTTGATTTGCATCTCTCAGATGATTAGTGACTTTGAGCATGTTTTCATATGTCTCTTGGCTATCTGTATGTTCTCTTTCAAAAAGTGTCTATTTAGGTCCATTGCCCATTTTTTATGGCATTGTTTATCTTCATTTTGTTATGTTGTATGAGTTCCCTTTAAATTTTGGAGATTAAACCCTTATGGGAGATAACATTGGCGAATATGTTCTCCCATGCAAGTGGGCGTTCTTGTTTTTTGATGATTTCTTTTGCTAAGCAGAAGCTTTTTATTTTGATGTAGTCCCATTTGTTTATTTTCTCCTTAGTTTCCATTGCACTAGGAGCTGTATCGGTAAAGATAGTGCTATGACATATGTCTGATATTTTGCTGCCTAGGTCCTCATCTAGGATTTTTATGGTTTCCCACCTTATGTTTAAGTCCTTTATCCACATTGAGTTTATTTTTGTGTATGGTGTAAGTTGGTGGTCTGGTTTCATTTTTTTTGCATGTACTTGTCCAATTTTCCCATCACTATTTATTGAAAAGACTGTCTTGACTCTATTGTATGCCCTTTCTTCCTTTGTCAAATATTAATTGAACATAATGGCTTGGGTCAATCTCTGGGTTCTCTGTTCTGTTCCATGGTCTACATGTTTGTTCTTGTGCCAGCACCAGGCAGTTTTGAGAACAGTTGCTTTATAGTATAGCTTGATATCTGGTATTGTGATCATTCTAACTTTGTTCTTCTTAAGATTGCTGTAGGTATTCAGGATCTGTTTTTATTCCAGTGAATTTTAGGAGAGTTTGTTCTACGTCTTTGAAGTATGCCGTTGGTATTTTAATGGGGGTTGCATTGAATCTATAGATTGCTTTGGGTAGTATAGACATTTTAATGATGTTGATTCTTCCAATCCATGAACACGGTATATTTTTCCATTTGTTTATCTCTTTCTCTGTCTCTTTTTCAGTGTCCTTTAATTTTCTGAGTACAGGTCCTTTTCCTCCTTGGTTAAGTTTATTCCTAGTTGTCTTAATTATTTTTGTTGTTGTTGCAATGCTAAATGGGATTGTTTTTACATTCTCTTTCTGTGAGTTCATTATTGGTGTATAAAAAAGCCATAGATTTCTGGATATTAATTTTGTATCCTGCTACATTGCCAAATTCATTTATTAGTTCTAGTAGTTTTTTGATGGAGTCTTTAGGGTTTCCTATGTACAATATCATGTCATCTGCAAAGAATGACTTTTTGACTTCTTCTTTTCCAATTTGAATGCCTTTTATTTTTTCTTCTTGTCTGATCACTATGGCTAGCACTTCCAGTACTATGTTGAACAGGAGTGGTGAAAGTCAGCATCCCTGTCTTGTTCCTGTTCTTAGGGGAAATTTAGTTTTTGCCCATTTAGTATGATGTTGGCTGTAGTTTTTCATATAAGGCTTTTATTATGTTGAGGTATGATCCCTCTATTCCCACTTTGCTGAGAGTTTTTATCAGAAAAGGGTATTGGATTTTGTCAAATACCTTTTCTGCATCAATTGATATGATTATGTTACTTCTGTCTCTCAATTTTTTATGTGATTTATCACATTTATTGATTTCAGGATATTGTACTAGCCTTGCATCCCTGTAATAATCCCACTTGGTAGTGGTGTATGATCTTTCTAATGTACTGCTGGATCCGGTTTGCTAGAATTTTGTTGAGGATTTTAGCATCTATGTTCAGGGATATTGGCCTGTAATTCTCTTTCTTTGTGGTGTCTTTATCTGGTTTTGGTATTAGGGTAATGCTGGATTCATAGAAAGAACTTGAAAGTATGCCTTCCTCTTGAATTTTTTGGAATAGTCTGAGAAGAATAGGTTTTAGTTCTTCTTTGAATGTTTGGTAAAACTCTCCTGTGAAGACTTCTGGCCTTGGGCTTTTGTTTGCTGGAAGCTTTTTGATGACTGCTTCAATTTCCTCCATATGTATCAGCCTGCTCAGGTTTTTTGATTCTGCTTGATTGAGTTTTGAAAGGTCATTTTTTTAGGAATTTGTCCATTTCCTCTAGGTTGTTTAGTATGTTGGAGTAGAGTTGTTCATAGTATTTTCTTTTTTACAATCTTTTGCATTTCTGTGGGGTCTGTTGTTATTTTGCCTCTTTCATTTCTGATTTTATTTATTTGGGTCCTCTCTCTTTACTTCTTGGTGAGCCTGGATAGAGGTTCATCAATCTTGTTTATCCTTTCAAAGAACCAGCTTTTGGTTTCATTGGTCTTTTGCTTGTTTTATGTTTTGTTTTTTTTTTGTTTGTTTATTTGTGTTTTTTTTTTGTTTTTTTTTTCTCTACGTCATTTATTTCTGCTCTGATCTTTATTATTTCCTTCCTTCTGCTCACTCTGGGCTTTTCTTCTTGATATCTTTATAATTCTTTACGTTGTAGAGCTAGATAATTTATTACCAGTTTTTCTTTTTTCTTTTTTTTCTTTTTTTTGAGGTTGGCCTGTAATGCTATGAACTTCCCTCTCAGGACTGCTTTCACTGCGTCCCATAGGTTTTGGGTTGTTGTGTTTTCATTGTCATTCATTTCCAGGATGTGTTTAAGTTCCTCTTTGATTTCTTTGGTAACCCAATCATTGTTTAATAGTATGCTATTCAGCCTCCAAGTATTTGAATTTTTTGATTGTTTTTATTGTAATGTATTTCTAATATTATGCCATTGTGGTCTGAAAAGATGCTTGATATGATTTCAATCTTCTTGATTTTGGAGAGACTTTGCCTGTGACCCAATATGTGGTCTATCTTTGAAAATGTACCATGTGCACTTGAAAAGAATGTATATTCTGTAGCTTTGGGATGAAATGTTCTGAAGATGTCAATTAAGTCCATCTGATCTAGTAAGTCATTTAGGATAGCTGTTTATTTGCTGGTTTTGTTTTGTTTTTTTTTCTGTCTATAGGACTTATCCAGTGATGTCAATGGAGTATTAAAGTCCCATACTATGACTTATTGCTGTTGATCTCTCCCTTGATATCTTCCAGAAGTATTTTATGTATTTGGGTGCTCCTGAATTGGGTGCGTATATGTTTACCAGAGTTATTTCCTCTTGTTGTATTGATCCCTTTAGTATTATGAAGTGGTCTTCCTATCTCTTGTTATGGCCTTCACTTTGGGGTCTATTTTGTCAGATATAAGTATTGCTACCCCAGCTTTTATTTCATTTCCTTTTGCTTGAAAGACATTTTCCATCCCTTCACTTTCAGTCTGTGTGAGTCTTGTTCTGAGGTGGGTCTGTTGTAGACAACAAATGTATGGGTCATGTTTTCTTATCCATTCAACCAGGCAATGTTTTTTGATTGGAACATTTAGTCCATTTACATTTAAAGTTATTATTGATAGGTATTTGTTTGTAGATATTTTTATTTTATTTTATTTTTTTGCCTGTGTTCCTCCCCTATTCCCCCCCCCCTTTTTTTTTTCTTCTTTTTGCAACAGTCCCCTTAGCATTTCTTGCATTGCTGGCTTGGTAGTGATAAATTCCCTTAGCCTTTCTTGTCTGTGAAGCTCCTGATTTCCCCTTCAATTTTGAATGATAGCTTTGCTGGATAGAGTATTCTTGGATTCAGTCCCTTGCTGTGCATTACTTTGTATACTTCCTTCTATTCCTTTCTGGCCTGATGTGTTTCTGTTTGATAATCTAATGGGAGCTCCCTTGTAGGTAATTTTCTGTCTCTCTCTTGCAGCCTTTCAGATTCTCTTTGTTGTTAACGATTGCCATTGTAATTACGATGTGTCTTGGTGTTGGTTTTTGGGGTTCATCTTCTTTGGGACTCTGTGCTTGAGTGACTTCTCCAAATCGGGGAAGTTTTCTGACATTATTTCTTCAAATAGGTTCTCTAACCCTTGCTCCTCTTCTTGTCATTCTGGCACTTCTGTTGTATGTTTCACGTTGTTTGAAAGCTCCCTCAGGCTCTCCTCCTGTCTTTTGAGTTTTTTTCTCTAATTGCAGTTCAGATTGGGTGTGTTTTGCTTCCCTGTCTTCTAATTTGCTAATTCGGTCCTCCACTTCTCCTAGTCTACTGTTGAAAGCTTCCATATTATGTTTCATTGTAGCTATATCACTCTATATTCCTTCCTGATTCTTACATAGGTTGTTGATTTTCTCATCCATCCATTTTATGAACTGTATGGCACTTATTCTGACATATTGTATGCCTCTGTTTCATTTAGTTCCTTTTCTGGCAAGTCCTTTTCTTTCCTTTGGGGGTTGTTCTTCTGTCTTCCCATTTTTGCTTTCACCAAGGGATCTAGGTGTTGAGTCATGCGGGGCCTGTGGCTGCAGTGGTGTACTTGGTGGCAGGTTGCGTGGTCGCGGGCGGTGGCTGCTCCTTGGTATGTCGTGGGCAGTGGCTGCTCCTCAGGTGGTTATGGGTGGCAGTGCTCACTGGGTATCTGCTCCTTGGGTGGTGGCACGCGGCGGCTGCTCCTCACATTGTCACAGGGCTACTGCTCTCCTGTGGTTGTGGCTGATGGCTGTTCCTCCAGAGGTTGTGGGCAGTGGCTGCTTGTGCAGCTGCTGGAGTGGTCGTGGTGCCAGGGGCTGCTGCATAAGGCTCTGCTATTTGCAAGTGCAGTCTCTGAGTCCTAGGCTGCAGTGTAAGGCTCAACTGTTTGTGCCCTAGGTTGTGGAACCCAGGGCTGCATAAAGTTAGGGTGTTCACACACATGTGTGGTTGCAGGGCCTGGGGCTAAGGCATCTGGCTAGGGGTAGGGAAGTGCCCTCCAGAACTCACAGGAACACTCAGCTGGGGAGGCGGGAATCCTGGTGTCTGTGGGCCGGCAGCTGAGGCAGCAGGTCCCTGTCTGGAGTGGGTGTAGGATCCTGGGTGGTGTCTGAGAGCAACCTGGGTGAGGTGAGGCCATATTATGTTTCGAAATGGCACCTCTGCAGCAGAGACAGCACTCCAGGAGAAATTCCAGCAGTAGCAGAGGCTGCCCGGCTATGCGAGCCCAGTCTGCCAGCCCATGAAGGTCCTGTGAGATCTAGCTGTCCCTCACTCACACACACACACCACACATCCACACACTCTCCTTTCAGTCCCTCACTCACTCACACTCTCACCCTGCAGCTGCCATCTTGGAATCTCTTCTGCATTAAAATTTAATAAAAAAGAAAACCTTACTCTTAAAATTGTGTATTTACCTAAAGTTAAAAAGCTGAAATGAGAATCAAGTATTTAGTATTTGGGATTAAAGAATTGCAATTCATGAAGAAACCAAAATAATATCCCTATCACAGGGTGAAAACAAGGGGAATGACTGTTTATTTTGTTTTGAAAAAAGGAACTGATTAATTACAATATTCAAGTAAGTCCATAACTATAATTTTTTAAATTACAGTTTACATTCAATATTATTTTGTACTAGTTTCAGGTTTACAGCATAGTGGTTAGAAAATCATAAACTTTGCAAAATGTTGCTCCTGATATTTTAGTACTCATCTGGCACCATACATTGTTATCACAATATTCTTAACTATATTTCCTATGCTGTATTTTACAATCCTGTGATAATTTTGTAACTATCAACTTGTATTCTTAATCCCTTCGCATCTTGGACTCAGTTCCCCCTTAACTCTCCCTTCTGGCCATCTGTGTCAATGCGTTTGTTTCTCTTTTGTTTATTTTGTCTTTAGATTCTGCAAATAAGTAAAATCATATGGTGTTTGTCTTTTTCTCACTGACTTATTTTACTGAGCATAACACCCTTTGGATCTATCAATACTGTTGCAAATGGTAAGATTCTATTCTTTTTATGGCTAAGTAATATTCCATTGTATATAAGCACTACCAC